TTTGGACCTTATAAATTAGACAAGGGCAGATTTCTAGCTGTGTTGACAGCCCTGATTCTGCTCATTGAAGCATGAGTGCTGTTGCATGGCATGGCCCAGTGTCACAGGGGATATCAAGGAGAAACAATGTTAGACCTCAGCTCTTCCAAATTCTGGGCAGCCACCTTATTGCATCTCTGCCCCTGAAAAGAACCGCCTTACTTTTCCATCCTGTGCACTGAAAGATGCAGGGATTTTCTGTAATAAGCATAGGTAATTGTTTCTGTGCATGAGAACACACACATACCTTTACCTGCATTCGTTTGGATGCGGCATACGCCTCTCTCTATTTGTGCACGTATGTGTAAATGTAATATGAGCACCAGCAAATCCATTGAAAACAAAACCACTGTTCTGTTTACATCTACAATATTATTAAAAATACTGGATTAATAAATACATGTTCTTGACAGATGAATTTAGGAACCATCAATTAAGCTTGGCATTCATTAGGTGGGGAGAAGTCCAATCAGATTTCACTGACTCAACAAAGCCGCCTATAAATTGTGGGCTTTTTGTTCTGATGTTTGATGAATTATTCTTCATAATCCACTGTCTACTATGATAAATCTAATCTTTCAGTTTTTGCTGTCTTAATAATTCTCAGAGCAACACTGTGACATTTTGTTTTTGTAGAGGGGATAGAAGGGCAGGGACGATGGGAAAAAACCCTCGCTGTCTGGGAAGTATATTGCTCTACAACAAAGTAATGTTTTTTCTCACACTTAGAGCTCTGGTCTTGCAGACTCGCAGGGATCAGTGAGTCCTTGGCAACATGAACCATTATGTGTATCTTGTTGAAAAGATGACCAGCCTAGGATGAGGTTGACATTCCTTAAACCAGGAGGGGCATTGAATTTGAGAGCAAATAGTGTGCTAGTGTTGATAAAGTGAATTCCAAAAGTCCTGATGCCTTCTGCTGTTAGCAATCCCGCATCTCACTGCTTCCTAAATTTGTCTTGAACAAACTGCTGACACATGGCCAACATTCATCACAGTGGCAGAGCAGAGCCACTGCATCTCGTGTAGAACAATGTTATATAATGCTGGGCTGGGGAAGGGCTCCATGACTTAGGCTCCTGCTCCAGAGCACCATGCTAGCAGCCTTTCTGGAGGGAAGAAAACATACCTCTCTGTGAAGTGGGCAAGTTGAAACCAGGCAGTAATACTCCATCATTTGCTGAAAAACATGGATATAAAAAGGTTGGGATTAAGAGGCAATATATTTCAAAAGAAATTAGCTAGCAAGACATGCACATTTAACTGTTATGGTTCAGAGATTAAGATATCAGACTGGAACTTGGGATATATGGGTTAAATCCCAGCTCTGTCAAAGACTTCTCAGAACATCTAGGCAGGTCATGTAAGGTAATACTTTCAGAAAGGACTCAGGATTTGGGAGCTTAAATCCAATTGATTTCCAGTATCTTCCTAAGTGTTTAAGGACAGGATTTGCAAAAAACACTGAGGCATCCTGGTGGCCCAGCATTGTGGCATCAGGTAGTATGTGCTGCAGACCTTGGGAAGAGCAGCTGTGCTTTGGGAAAGCACTTCAGCATGTGAGGAAGCCTGTAGCTGACATCTGGGAATTCCTGGAAAGCATGAATTTGTGCAGGGCCCATGGTGGCTGTGCATCTCATACCATGGCACTCTGGGCTTAATGTGGTCTCTAGATGCAACCTCAGCACAAATACATACTAGTAAGTGTCCAAGTAAATAGATCCTGTTAGAGCTTTTATATCACTTCTTTGAGGTGTGAATACTAATACCAACAATCATGCATATTTTACATATTTAAAATTAAATGAGCTTCATTCTTCAGAACTAAACAGTCAGGGCTGTGTTTCCAGCAAGTGAAGTACAGCGCACATTCATTTGCTGGTGGACCATGTGCTTGTTGGTGGGGACCTGGCTTGCAGAAGGAGCAAGGGAAACCACTGTGTGCAGGGACACTGCTCACCTGCATGGCTGTAAACCTGCAGCTGGCTGTCCTGCTCCTTTGAAAGAGCAGCTCTAAAGTTCCTTTTAAACCTTTATTAAACCTGTCGGGAAACTATGGCTGTTTCATCTCCTGCCAGGATTACAGATGGTAACAGCGAGTTTGATGTGAGGCCATTTGAGACCAGCTGTAGCCTGGAAAAAACTTGAGAGTTCCTGAAGTCGGGTGCGCTCCAAGACTGTCCCAGACGTTTGCTTGCTAATCATCCATTCTGGAAATGACAGTTTTGTTAAGGGTGCTTGTGAGCAGTAAGAGCCTGCAGCCTGTTCCAAGAACTCCCTGCTTGCATGAAATGGGTGCAGCCACCTTCATTTGGAAAGACCCTACTCCCTGGCAGGCAGTGTGGGAACCAGGCTCACTCCGCTTCCATGTCACACTGCCTCTTGCTCACTTTTGTGTGTCTGGGACACAGTCTGCAGCAGAGGCATTAGCTGCCTCCAGCTAGCTGAGAAAAGACAATTCCATAATGAACGAGGGTCATTTGCTAAGTGGGGGGTCCTGGAGCCCAGCCATGATTGTGCTTCAGTTTTATCTCAGCCTCACACCTGCTCATGTAATGGCTGTGATCTGCTCCCTCCCCCTGTGCATGCTCTGCCCTTCTGCTCCTGGGGTACCCATCAATTCTGTGGCCCTATTGCAGTCCCTTGCCTTGCTGTCTTTGCAGTCTGTGAACGTGCACAAAATTGCCCTGGAATTGTGGGAGGGTCACTGAGCTGGCTCAGACAGACAAGACTGCTAACCTGACTTCCATGTCCTAAGTAGCAAGTTTATAAATTAAACTCTTCAATACAAAATAACTCCTAGACACAGCTTTCTTCAACTATGTTTCTTTAGAAAACTTAGTCACACGATAATGAGGTGTATTTTTCCTGCCAGAGGGAACATGTGCAGTATTTTTTCCCCCTGTATGCATTCAGTTCTCATGAAAATGGCTAGATTGACAGTGTAGGCAATTAAGAGGTTTTGAAATCCAGAGCAGATGGAATTTTATGCAATTTATATATGATCTTGCTAAAAATGTACCTTACTGGAATCAAGCCAGTGAACACCCAATTCTGTATTTTAACCTTTGGGGGATGTTACCCAGCTTTATGATAGTTGGAGTAGTAACCAATTTGTAAAGGATACATCCCTCTGATACAAGGATGTAGAGTAGTGAGAGAGTTGAAGAAAATCCCAGCTTGACCTCATGTGGCAGGTTCTCTGTTTGCATTTTTTTCTTTCTTATGGGATCTTGCAGCCCAGCAGGCTCTTGGCCACCTTAAATCTTTACCCTCAATAGATTCTTTCTTCAGGGAATACATAAACTTCACATAAAGGTAAAAGTCCCTGTGTCTTGAACACATTTTCTCTTGAGACACAAATGTCAATAGGTTTGAATTATGGACCTGCTGTAATTAAAAAACACATAACTAGTTGTTTTTAAATGCAGTTGTTTTACTTAATTGATTTTGCCGCCAGGACCAAAGAGAATTAATTAAATAAATAAAATGAACCTTCCTAGTGAATTACTGGAGGCAGCTGAGTCTGTGTTGGTACCTAATTACTGCAAATGCTCCAGTTTGTTGCTAGCAATAGTTTTCTGTGGAAGGGGCTGGGAGAGAAGGGGTGGGGTGGTGTGGGAGGGGGCCCATTCCTTGGCAGCTGCAGGAGGGAACAGGCTGCTCCTTGTAGTATTTTTCTTCCTTTTCAGCAAAAAGAGTATTCGTTTAAGGCTTTGCTTAGAAGGTCTTTATTCATATTTAATTGCTAGGTTGCTGCAGCTCCCATCTTTAATTACCTTTTAAAAAGCAGGTTATAAAAATGCACTGACATTCTTTCTTTTTTGTTACTGCATAAATAACAGGCTTCTCAACTGCTCACTTGAAATCAGTTGAGCCTGCTAGAAGGGTGGGACAGGGTCCCTTTGCTGACTTCTGGAAACCTCAGAGCTTATGTTCACCTTGCCCTACAGAGCAGGACAAAAATCCTCAGCTAGTATAATATGAACTATGCCTGAAGCCACATATCTGTGTTGGCCCTTGCTGTGAGCTGACTGACTGTTTGGAGGGGCCTGGCTCATCAGCTAGGCTGAAATTGCATTACCATGGTTGTAGTGTTTGCAGAGCCTGTGCTGCCTGGTGCTGCCAAGAGGGTCTCTAGCAGGGTGCTATGTTATGTAGGGGAGGTGAGCCTTTGCCCTCACCCTTGTCTACCTTGGATTTTGCTTCCTGGACCTGCTCCTGGTAAATCTACTTCATCTGAAACTTTCCTTATAGTCCAGTCCTGAATTTCTCAGCCAGAGCTTCTAATAATTTCCTCTCCTGCTTGCCAAGTGCTTTGCTGTCCCTGATTGGTGCTTTTTCTGAGCTGAGAGAACTGGTTACTTTTATGGAAGGTGTGGCAAAGTCCATCACATTAAACATGTTTTCAGGCCAAGTTGTCACGGTTGAAACAGCAATTTTTGTCCCCCCTGCCCTTAATGCAGCCCTTAACCACTGCTCCCCAGTCATGTGCTGGCTTTCACCAAGTAAGCTTGCTGCTGCTGTAATGCACAGGAGTACACATTGTCAGGTTTCAGGGGTGATCGTGGATGGTATTAAATATCTGCAAAAGAAATACATGCAAAGGAGCAGCTGTTGGCTTCTGCACCCAGGATGCTGCCCATAATCACTTCAAGCCATTTTTAGGACATCCTTAAGAAGTCTCACACACTGCCTGGCCACTACAAGTCCAAGATGAAATGTGCTGCTGGGACTCTGTCATAGGTTTCCATAAGCAGAGTATCTCCAGGGCATTTGCGTGTTTGGCAGGCTTCACTCAGAGGCCAAGCAATGACAAGGCTAAGAGGGGGGACAGAAGAACTATGAAAGGGCTGAGTCTGCCCAGCTTTGGCACGTGAACTCTCTGGCCTGTGGGCAGGGCTTTCCTGAGCATGGCTTCTGTTACTCCAAGCTGATGCCTTTTTCTCTTCTCTCGGCAGATAAAAGAGCTCTTTATAAGTTTTGAGGACACCCCCTTGGGAGCAGCATCGCTAGCCCAGGTACACAAAGCAGTGCTGCAGGATGGGAGAACAGTGGCAGTGAAAATCCAGCACCCCAAGGTCCAAGCTCAGAGCTCCAAGGATATTTTGCTCATGGAGGTAAAATTACATGTTGATTTCAAACTTACAGAATAATTGCCATTGAAGTGTATGGGGACCACATTCATCTATGGTGTAAGCAGGTATAACAACACCAACCTGTGGCTTTGAAACCTCCACAGAGATCAATGCTGTCTTGCAGGATTAATACAGAAAATCGGTGAGGATTGCAGTGCTGGTGATTGTATGGACGGAGAGACTGAACAACAGGGTAAAAGGGAAGGAGGAGAAGACAGGTAAAGATTAGTGACATTATAGTAAGTCCATATAAGACTTAAGAAGTAGAGAGTCCTGAAGTCTCTTTTCAGCCCGTGTGCTCATTAACTGGTCTCAGGGACCATGAACTGATCTCTTGTAGTCAGGCCTGTGTGGTCAAGGAAAATCATTGTTCATGATTAGCACGTTTTTCAATTAAATTCTACTGTGGATTCAACAGTAGATGAGGTTGTTATGATTCAGTTTTGTTTCTTGATCAGCTCCATAATGCTGAACTGATTAATGGTAGAAACAAAAACAGTGAAATACAGAGAGGGTCACCTAACAGGGGCAAATATACAAATGAAGGATTCAGCTAGGAAAAAAGTTTCAATGCCTAGCTCCTGTATGGTAGGTACCAGTCTTATTTCCCAGTGCAGTGCTGTAGCTTTTCCCAAACTTCTAAGTCTAGCTATAGAAAGGAAGAAATGGAAATAAACTGCAGCCCTGTACTGCATTGCAACAAAGATGCCAGCAATATAGAATAGAACACCAAATGGACAGGGCTGTGGTGGAGGAGATGGGAAGGATTAGGTCTGTAAGTGGTAACACTGAAGCTTTTTGCTCTCCTAATAAAGCATATGCGTGTGTGTGTATATATATGTAATGTCTGTATATACAGTAAGTGCACAGTAATTGGTAGACAGGTAGGTCCATGGTACTAAAGAGGGGAAGCTTGAGCTGAGGAGTTCTGATGAGTGTTTGGAGGGTATTGCTGATGCAGTAACACAGTTCTCCATCACAGAAAATCAGAAATCAAAAATTCTGCCAGCAACCTCTCAGAGCACTGTTTAACAAGCTTCTTTAGGCAGTTAAAATACCCTGCTTCGAGCAATCCTGGCTAGTCTGCATAGAAGCACCGCTGGTTCCAGCTGGGGCACATAAGTTTGCAACTGAGTATTTAATTTGAACTCACAGTGAAAGAAACTTCTGGGTTCCAAAGAGATCTCCCAATAAGATAGGATCAGTCTGTTTCAATGCTGGTTTGAGAACACAGAACTGTTTGAACTGGCTTTGGCTCCAGCTGAAGATTTGAATTTGATTCAGATCTTCTTCGGGACTCACTGCAGTGGTCTGCCCAATGGATTTGCTTCTGTGAGTCATCATGTGCACAGCACTTCTCAGGGGGCTTATGACATCCTTGTCTCCCTCCCAAAACAAGGTGGCAGACAAAGAGCAGTCAAGGATTAAGGATGAGCAGGTAATGAAAGAATATGGGATCAGGGTAATAAGAGGATTCTGTGTGAATGACCCAAAACCTGTGTTTACCTTGGCACATTTGCCCTTCTAATAGTGGATATCATAGGAACATACCTCCTCACACCATGTTGCTGTGATTGCTGATTATACTGGTAAGAGACATTTAAACAAATTATTTTAGAATGATTCCTGTCTTTTCTGGCTTTAAACTATTCCTTCTGGGAAACTTGGAAATAAACCAATGTATTTTCTTTTGGTAGTTTAGTACTGTCCTTGTACAGACATTCTGGTTTACCGTTCACATGTTGTATATACACAGGTATGAAAAGGTAACTCAGAATGTGACACATGCAGTTTTGTTTTTAAAAGGTCTCTCTTGTGGGGTCTTGGCTTACATGCATCATTGTATCCTTGTGTGGGACTGTTTTTGACTGATAGAAAGCTAGATCACATGTGCTAATGTTCTGATCCTTTAAGAATCAGACAGACATTGCAGCTAGGTAAAGAGGTTGATTTAAATATTGATGGAGATGGTCTCATTGAGAGACTGATGGGAAAGAATTTGAACAAGAAAAGGTAGCTGGAAAATTCCTAAATTCACTTGAGGTTTCATACCATCAATGCTGACTCTTTAAAAATCAGTACAGCATCTGATAAACCCAGAGAGAGATACCTCACTGCTCTCTATATGTCAATAATTATTTCAAGACAATATGTTGACAGGTGTCAGAAAAGGGGTGGGCAAAATACTTGTTAGGATGTCCCTGCTGATGGTCAAGTTGGCAAATTGATTGAAAAGAGCATTTGAAGAAAGTGAAAAAAAGCATGAATTTTCTCACATCGAGCACCAATGGAATAATCTTGGAGACCCTATGAAGTTTATGTTCATGTTCATGAAGATTGCTGGTTACATTTCATTTGGGTGACATAAATTTGAAAGGATTTATGCCTCTAGATATAACAGTAAAAAATACAATTCAATAGTGTCTGGAACCTGGTGATTACATTTTTAAAGGAACATTGAGTTTGCAACTGACATTTAGATAAGAGAAGTTGAGACAGGGTAGAGAACAAATGTTGTCACACAACTGAACAGGAGCAGTGATGGTTCGTAAATTTATTTTTGTCATACATTTTTGATGTTAGCAGCTTCCTGTGTGTACTTTAAATGTTCCTTGTGCAGTGCAGGAGTTCCCATCCCAGTGGTGGAGATTGAGAGGGGGAAACTGTGCAATAACACACACTTAAAAGCCTGTTTCTGTTTCCAGATGAATGTGCAGAACAGGTAAAATAAAGACAGCAAAGTGCATTCTATTGTTATGGGTTTTTTTACTTGTTTTATGACTCAGTTAAAAACAGTAAAAACAATTTTCCTTAACATGTGGTCCATATTGTCAGCTTGTGTAAATTTGCAACTCTGGTGGAGAAACTGTCCCTTTGTATGAACAGAAAGCATACTTGGCTGCTGTGCAGCTTTGATTATGCCATCCAGTTGTGTAATGTTGATTCACTCACCCCTTAAATGTTGCTTCAGTCAAATGTTTCAAGGAACTTTTTGGGTGGGATTTTCAAGGTGCTGTGTCTCTGAATATCTAATCTCTTTAAGAAGAAGAGCATTCCATATATTCCATGTGGTGAATATATGATACTTGGGAAATACCTCCTGAGCCTTGTGAGAATGGCTTTTCCTGATGCTGAAGTGCAATTTGCCCTCTGAGCTCCACGAGAAGTGTTATTTAAGGATCTGTAGCCTACTTACTGTATCCAAACTCCACTGTTTTCTTTCAACTGCCCAGAGGATTTTCTGTGCTCAGCAGTGGAAGAGGTAACATAGAGGTGACAAGTATTACTTTTGGTCTTCCTTGTCTACATTATCTGAGAGCTGTTCAAATGAAGTCAAAGAATGACTTCTAGAATTATAGGACTCAGAAGATCTCAACAAGGGCAACACCCTTGGTGAGATCTGGCCACGTGGGCTCTTCTCCAGAGCTTTGTTCTCTTGCTTCTAGGCAGCATTCAGCTGCCCTCCCTTTGATGTGTGGGCTATCATTTAACTCCTAGATGAGCCTTTGTCTGTGGAAGAGTAGGCCAGAATTTGTGTTACATGACCAAGGCATGACACTGTGTTGTGATACTGCAGGAACCCTAAAAGCACTTGCTTTTTTTACTTGTAAGTTACATGGAATGATCCTATCAAAACAGCACTATGTGTAGCGGTGTGGCTTTGGAGCCAGGATGCAACTGATTGTCTGTTTCCTTGTTCTCAGGTTCTCCTCTTGGTTGTGAAGCAGATTTTTCCAGATTTTGAGTTCATGTGGTTGGTGGAAGAAGCTAAGAAGAATCTGCCCTTGGAGCTGGATTTCCTCCATGAAGGCAGAAATGCTGAGAAGGTTGCTCATATGCTCAAAAATTTTGACTTCCTGAAGGTGAGGAAACACATATTTCTTTCTATGCATGTGCATTAATAGTGTCCCTCTCTATGTCTTATGCCCCTCATTCACCAAGTGGAGGAAACGTAAGGAGGGAAAATGAAGTTCAGCCCCTCTGTGTTGTTTATCCTAGACTGCTCTGCTAATATGGACCAGAAAATACTCTGAGACATGTTTTCTCCTTGTTTGTCTCCTACTGAATGCACTCTTTTGGGTCAGGAGTGGTGGCTTGGGACCAGCAGTCTCTGGAGCCTGCTGCTCATTTTCCCAAGTTTTCTTTCTGAATTTCATTTAAATTTTCTTTTTGAACATGTTCAGAGACTGTGAATTTGCCATTCTTTACTGAGCCATCTGGTGGTACCTTTCCTTGGGCTCTATTTCAACTAAGGGCACGAAATGGACATAGAACAGAAAAGCTAGACTGAAACTGATGATGTCAAGTAGTATCTCAGGAAAAAGCATATTTACATGAGTCGTTCCTACTGCAAAAAAGCACATTCTCACCCTAGAATTGGACATTTATCCTTTATACACATCTATGGCTAGTGCATTCATGTTACTTCATACAGAAACCAAATTACACTCGTGTGTGGTCTTCCCCACTGATACTTTTAGCCCACCTCCCCCACGTCATACTTAGGTCACTGATAAATATCTCAAGTACAACCTGACATGTACACATCTCAGTCTTGGAAAGACATAAGGCCACATCTTCAAAGTCACACGTTCAGAAATCTTTTGCTGACATACAAGAGACTCAAGCCTCCAGTGTGTGCTTTCTGGAAACACATATAGTGCCATGGTTGCAGTCACTGATGAGCCTGTGGCACATACAAAAAGGCAGGAAAAAACACATCCTGTGGACCTTCGTGGATACACACTTCTAAAGGAGCTTGTTCCCTCCTGTTCATGCAGAAGTCCCAAGATAGCAGTGACAGAGGTGTGAAATAAGGTGAGTTTTTGTTAGGCTTTACAGGCTGATCTATCAATTTTTCCTTGCTCCTTCCATGTAAGGGATGTAATTCCATGTTGCCTAACGCCAGCTTTGGAGCAGTCCTTTTGAAGCCCAGTGGCAGCAATGGCCTTCCCATAGACACAGGTAAAAGCCACCACAGGGAAGGCCAGAGTGGTTTTGCTGAGTGGGTGCCTATCAGAAGTGATGCAGCTTGGAGAGTGTGTCCATTGCACTGTAAGTAGCTTACTGTGAAGTCAATCCCCATGGAGACAGCCAATCACCTCCTTGCTGGGTTAAGGAGCTATCATGGTATCAATATGTGTAACAATAACAAATGACTTGAGATGGCTAAATAATGGATCCTCCCGTCTGACCTGCCAATTCAGAGACGTGTTCATCACCTAAAAGCAGCAGAAGAATTGGGCTTCTGTATCATAAATTTTCCTAAACATGCCAGAAAGCTGAGAAGTAGATTTTGTGCTGTGAACCTGTTTGAGCTTTTAAAGCCAGAGATAAATTATTTCCACACACAACCATTAGAGCCAAACATCTGTGAGTAATTAAAAAAATCACTGAAGAATTTGGCTGTGATTGAGAGAGGCATCTCTGACAGCATGAATAGCGCTTTACAAGCCCACTGACTTGCCTTTGTAAATCCTGAGACAAGACTGAGTGTCATTGGAAGTGAGCTAAGGGATCAGAGAGCTATATGGGATGGGGAACTCTTAGTTTTGGAGTTAGCAGGCTTTCTCACCAGTCTAACTGCAAAGAATGGGCATGCAGATAAGCTGGGAAGGCTGTGAGTGTCTGAATCTCCCTTGCTTATAGTGGATCTATAGCATCAAAGTCTAAGCAAGGTTCACCTGCAAAGTATAACTAGGGGTGTTGAATGATGGGACTGAGAGGCACTGAAATTACTCAGCAAAGGAGCCTTTGATCTAAAGTGGCACACACATGGTAAAGTAGAAGTGGTTTCTCTAGGACAGGAACGGAGGGAAGCAGCTAGTTTGTAAGGGACTGGGATATTGTCAATAGTTAAAAGCAACAAATGCTGCTTGTTCAGAAGCTATGATGAGCTACAGTGGCCTGGCTGGTCATCCCCTGGTTTTGGTCAGTTGATGGACAGCAACTCTTACCTCTTCCTGTCCTGCCCTAAGGTGCTGATCGGGAGTCCATGGCTAAGTCAGGAGGGTGAGGAGAGGGGACTGCACAGCTGGCTTACTATTTGTATGATCCAAAATTATTATGTCTGTCATAGTAATGGGGGGCACAGCAGTGAGAGTGGGTGGAGCTTCCTTATGTCTTTGCTAAAATGTACATATGTGGCTTCACCCATGTGCAAAAGCAGATTTGGGCAGATTGAGGGTTGGTCAGCACAGTAACATGAGGAATTTCGAAGGGGAATTCAGCAAAATGGCTCTTGACAATAGAGACTTCAGCATGGGAGAAATTTGTCTGGAGAGGGAGGCCGGAAAATGGGGACCCAGCCTGAGTGACACTTTTGTCACTGCCTCCCTGGATGACACCAGACTTCTTCTCTGGTACCTCACTCAGCTTGATCTACCACAGCTTGAATGAAAACTGCTTTGACATTTTACACTCATTACTGTGTTGTTGGCAATAAGATAATTAAGGGTCTCACAGGGTTTCTGTGACAAGTCCCTTATTTGTGACACTCGATTTTTCTCCCAGTTCAATTGCAGATGGCCTAAGTATGCAGGGTTTGTCAGCTCAAAGGCATTCGTGTTCCAAGGGGCACTGCGGAGATACAATTTATGATGAAGGCTTATAATTTTTAAAGCTGCGTAAGTGGACGCTGTGCGTAGCAAACAAGATGCAGTTCCTGTCTAAAGGAGCTGAGTGGATGATTCAGAAACTTGCAATAGGTACTAGTTAAACAGCCCAGCTAGAGAAGCTGCAGAGCAGGTAAGAAAGGTATCTCAGACATCACTGGGAATGGGAGGTGGTCAGAATCCTGTACAGCGTGGTCAGAAATGTTGCATGAGATCAGATCCTACTGTAGTTGAATTGGTGTATTATCCTTCTACACATTGCTGCTGTCCTGTGGAAGAGGCTGATGGATGAATTTACCTCCCTTGTGCTCATCAAAAAAGCCAAGTCCTCGCTTCAGCTGCTTCCATTTTTACTCCTTTTCTGGGATTTGTGTGATATATTCTTCTTCCTTTCCCAAGCTGTTGCTTGACCTAACCCATCTGTTTCTGTTTCAGGTCCCCAGGATCTACTGGGAGCTCTCCACAAGCCGTGTCCTTCTCATGGAGTTTATGGAAGGGGGACAAGTGAATGACAGGGCCTATATGGAGAGGAATGGCATCAACGTCAATGAGGTAGCTTCTCAGCCATCTTGGAATTTGGCGTGCTGAGCAGTGCAAAACTGATTTTGACCTTGATGCAAAATGGAGGCTGACAGGATGGGATGGGACAGGAGAATAAGTACACAAAGATGTGAAGGGAGCAATCAATCTGAGATCTCTGTTCTTGTGCTCTTTGGAAAAGTACATAATCCCTTTTGAAGAACACTTTCCTGTAGGCTGCAGAACTAGGAAGATCTTCAAGGAGACATAGTGAAAGATGACCATGCTCTTACATTAAAGATACTCATGGTTTGTTCCAAGATGGAAGTTCCTGTTACCCTAAAGGAACAACTTCAGTTTCTGATTATTTTTATCTCATGAGGTTTGTTATTAAGAGAGATTTGAGAAGTTCTGTCTGTAGCAAAACGTTGTCAGCTCTATTCATCTGGACAAGTCAACTGGTCCAAAGTGAGGCAGTTGTTTCTTTGAGTGAGTTTATCCTATACTTCCGCTATAGGCAGAGGTGAAATCTAGCCCACATGCTCATATAGAAGAGTGAATATTTCTCAAGTCTTGAGAGTCAGAAGGGCTTGTTTTGATGTATTAACAGAAAGGCTCTTGAGCAATATCTACATTTAGATTTTGAGGTGGGCTTTCTCATAGATCACAGACAGCAGGTCCATTTTGAGACTGAGGTAGTTAGCATAGTGTAGCTCCTGGGATTTTCTTTGAATTTTCTCAGACTGCTGGAGATAGCACAGTTGTAGAGAAACAGCTAATTTCAGTCTTTCTAACTTGCAGAGGCTTTTGCTTGTGATAGGAGCAATGTAGGGTGAAAATTTCTGCTAATATTTATATTTATCCATGCCATTTTATTTATCCAACCTTCCATTGGGAAGGTTGTTTTGTAATGACTTGGCACAATACATCCATGCAGCAGTGAAATCACATACTTTCCTGAGTCTGAACTAGTCTCTAAATAATAGCTAAGAAGTAATTTTTAAAAAGTTGTCAACAGACTTCTACTACTGCTAAGTATAAGCCTCAGAGCTTCAGCCATCAATCAGGTAGAGGATGTTACTCAGCTCAGTGGTAGGACTGAATTTTCTTTCTTCCTTTCCTCTTCCCATCCCCTGAAATTAATAATTAACTTTTACTGATTGCCAACAAAGCAAGGTAGAAAGGGGGGAATACTGAGCCAGACAGAATAATGTGATGGGAAAAGAGATCTGTTATTATGGCCACAGTAAGATGAAGTAGGGGCAGTGCACACCCCAGACTTATCCTGTGGCAAGGTGCAGCAGATGGGGACAAGGTTGCCTAGGTTAATTATTGGCTGCTGCTGTTGTTGCCCTGGGGTAAAGGACTGCATGGCATAGTGGGGAGATGAGCAAAAGGCAGCAGACCCTGAAAGGAGCATGAGGGGGTGGCAACCCAGGTTTCAAAACTGTGATATGGTTTATAATATGACAGCAATCTTGGCTTTCAAGAGATGCATTAGCTCCCTATAAATCACCTAAATATATTTATTTTATCAGTCACTCTATCATTTTGTTCCATTTTGTTTTACGGTGTGGAGGAAGAGGAGTCTTCACTAAGCAGGATTTCTTTTTTGTGACAATGCAGCCTTGAAAAGCAAGCTGAGCCTCTCTCCTCTAAATGGAAAGGATCCCTGAGGTGAAAGCTCCCTTCAAACCAGGTTACTGACATTTACTTAATACCGTCTGTAGCAGGATTATCATTAAAGCTGCCCAAAAGCACATTAATCTCTCTGGATCCGTCCAAGTGCTGGATTGTAATGGCATTTAATCAGAGAAGGCTTTGATTTCTAAAGACAAGTGCAAACATTGAAATATCTGTCTGTGGAACAGTTACTTATTCATGTACAAGTGTACTTGTACACTGTAATGTAGCTGAGGAGGAACATGCAACTGGGATATTGACAGTGAAAGGGAAATCTGGAGAGGGAAGTTACCAAGAATGAGCTGGCAGGAATTTTAAGGGAAGACTAGAACATGTCAGGGCTAAGAAGCGGGCATCTGGACACTGGGCTCTTCCTGTTTTAAAACACAATAACATTTGCAGTCTTGGTTGGGAAGGTATATTTGGAAGAAGTGGGTAGAGCAGGGAAGAGAGAAAAATTAGACTGAGGGGCTCTCAAGGGGTTTGTAGCGTACTGTATACAGGAGAAAAGGAAGGGGGCAGCAAGGCTACTTAGAGCATTGATTTTTAAAGAAGATCACAAATGGCACAAATATTCTTTTTGTATCCATTCTGATGATACCAATTAATTTGTATTTGTATACAAATCTTAACATTATCTTTGGTCTGCCACATGGGTTCTCCGTGTCCTTCTTTGTGAGTTCTCTGCTTGTCACTGCAGAGGCTGCTGTATCAGCGGGCTCTAGGACCTGTGGAACTTCCAGATGTGCTCATGGCATGTACTGTATAGCCTCAAACCAACCAGCCAGCTCAGGTAGCCAAGTGAAAAGTCCCCATGATCAGCCTGATGTGGATTTGAGTCAAGGAAAGGAAACAATGCCATGTACTTCAGCTTGCTAAGAGCCTCATCATGAGCCATGGTTGATTCAGAAGTCAGAAAAGTGTTTTGTCCAGCTGAGAATTGAAAGCAAACAGCTAAGGTACTTAAGATGAGCTACTGTGTGCAATTATTGCCATCTGTTACTCCATCCTACTGTGTTGTTTTCCTTCTTTCTGTTACTAAATGGATTCTGCACTGAAACCCTATCTCTTAGCTCAATAAAGAGCCTGGTACCTTCCTGTAGCTGACGGCTTTGCAACTTGAAATAGGCTTTCAGTGTGGGATTTACCCTTCTGCCAAGAGTCAGGAGCTGTAGCTGTGTAGCTGCTAAAATTTAAGTGGGATTTCCCAGGGTGGGATCCTTTTGTCAGCAGTGGAAACCTCTCATGTCTGAAGTATTTGTGCTTATAACACTCAAGTGTTAGATGAAGCAGAGCATAGAGAAGAACACTGTTTCTAGGGAAAATGGCTATTCTTGCTCTTTGCACTTACTGAGTTAGTCTGGCGAGAGGTTTCTTTGCAGATTCTCTTACATTTCATATTGTCTGAAGCTTAGTGAAATTCACAAGGCACTGATAAGCAGGGGTAATGACCTCTGCTATTTTCAGCTTTTGAACTGTGCACAGACACCAGGTAAAAGAGTTAAATTACACACAGACCTGTTTCTTACTGAAAGTTGTAATTGGGCATCGATGTCAATCAATTGCTTAAGTCTCAACAAGATGCTTTACATTAAATCCAAGGAAATACAACTGCATTTAAAACCAAGGGAAATTATCCCCATGGTCATTTTGGGTCTGACAGATACAAGAAACAATAAAAAAACAATGACTAGTCTTCTCTAGCTGTGCCCTTTTGAGAATCTGTGCAAACTTGACGAGTTAGTCCATTGGTTCCCTGGGTGGATGAATCAGAGTATTTCTCCCCACCTACATGTCATGGAAGATGGAGCATTGAGCATGAAAATAATTTCCTGAGCCCACAGCAGAGAATACGGGGCATGCTGGGAGTGCACTCCAGGAGTCCTAAAAACTATTCCTGTATCTTCAGGACATCAAGTGTGTTCAGACATCATCTTGCTGTGATGATAGATCACTGCATAGTAATAGAACTGCCTAACAGAACACTTTTGATCCTCACAAGTGGATCACAGGGTATGAAATCAGATCTCTTGTGTGACCATCCTAATCTACTATGGATCAGAGCCATTTCAGAGCAGAGGCAGAGAAGGCTTCAAATTGTGGCTATTCTCCATCCACACCCTTTGCTAATTTGACACCAGTTTAATTGGCCAGAATTGCCCTAGCAGGATTAAGCAAAACCTTAGACAATGGCTGTAATAACAACAATGAAAGCAAGCAAAAACCCAATACAGTCTTCAATCCAATTAACCTTCGATTAAGGTTCCAAAATCAATGCTATTATTTTGGCCGGAGGAGGTAATATTGAGCCCTGAGAAATGAGCTGCACAAAGACCTTTACTTTTAATGAGATCAATAGAAGTTAGTGTCGCCATCTCTTAAAATAATTGGCAAATATTACAGCCAAATTAAAGCCAGAGACTAGTATCTGCTCCTGATCTAAAGAGACAGTCACAAATGGAGGTGGGATGGGAAGGGATGATGCCCTATCAGGCAGTTTCATCTAGGACTTATCAGGGGCAGGCAGTGAGATCATCTCTACAGGACCATGATACAGTATTTTTTTCTTTGCCTTTCTTCTTCATGTCAGTTAGAGGCATAGAGCCAGAACCACTCCAGCTTGCTCACAAGTTCAGGAAAGAAAGCATCAGTGACTTTCCCCAGATAACCCAAGCTGGTTTGTTACATTGCATTATATCATGCTACCCATGAGCATGATACATGTGCTTTTTACTGTAGGAATGCTCATAAACTCAAATTTGCATGCATTCTTTCTTTTCTGAGAGGTTTCTTGGTAATTATTGCATATTGGTGTTTTAAAGACACTCACTTGTGATGGACTTTCTAGAGTTTTGTTACTGTCACGTTGCTCTGTCAGTGGGTGTGCCGATTTGTTGAGGGGAGAGTTGCATAGAGGGGCAAGCGTGACAGGTTGTCTAGGCTTTCAAAACTGATAGCAGCAACATATTGTGGCTGCATATATCACTGCTGGTACCTGCACTACAGCTTGGGATCCTCTTAGTTAGGTGACAGTAATGCAGTAGGTGTACTTGTTAAAATATTTGGTACACTGGATATGACTCCATTACCAAGAAAAAGTGGGGATTAGTAGGGAAATTGCAAAGCAGGTAAGAAACTCATAGAAGCAATGAGATTTGCTCTTCAAACAGATCTCATTAAACAGATTGGCGATGACTTCAGCACAAACAGAACTGTATCAAGGAGATTGTTGATGACACCAAGCTGGGAGGTCTGACATTGTAGAGGAGTACCAGAGTAGCAATAGCACTTGTTGACCTTGAGGACTGAAGTGGTAGAAAGGAATAAAAAGGAGCAATGTCAAGTGGAAAGTCAGATTGAGTAGGTAAAAAGCACTTGGGTAATGTGTTTAGGTTGCTCTGAAGTCCAGCTCTTATAAATGTATCTGTCACTCCATTGCTTGATTGTTGTCAGCAATCTGTTTATTCCTCAGCTCTTGTTTTTTTTCAAAATGAAAACATTGGGCTGAAAATGTTTGGTTTGCCTGACACAATGTCATGGTCATGTCACATAATTTGGCAATGGCAGGTTGGTATTTACACTGACTGGTAAAGGCCACAGCCTCACTTGGTGACTGTACATCATGTTCTGCTGCAGCGCAGACAGGCAAATTTAGCTTCTTTTAGGCAATAACATTCCTTCTGGCAATAGGCAGAGACATGCCTCTGGTGAGACCCAGAGCCTGATGTCATCCTGATATATCAAGCTAAGCTCTGCTTGCTGATCAGCATTCTTATGTGTTATGCCTAAATTATGCCATTCATGATGACACCCGCTTTTTTGGTGGTATTTCTTACAGCACATACAGAGCTACAGGTGCTTCTGCTTCCTTGCTGTTCAAACCTCCTGACTGGTAGACTGTTCCTCCTCTGCCATTCCTTAGCCAACTTTGGAATCTTCAGCTCTTTTAATCTTTATCCCAAGTAAATGCCTCCTGCATCCTGCTCATTTATTTGCTTTTTCTGAACTCCCTCTGTGTAGTCTGTCTCTTGAGTTAATGAGGTGTCTGGAAGTGAATGCAGAATTCCAAGACTGATTATTATTTTTTTTACAGTGTGCAGCAGAACAATGCTGGGGGACACTGGTGGGACACTGGTAATGATAAAGACCTTTTTTTTGTTGGATGATAAACAGGGAAAGGACTGATGACCTCTCTGTGTCATAACAAAAAGCCTGTGTTTTAACTGTGGTCTTTGCTTCTGTAAATCATTGCAACCTTTTTTCTAATTTGTGATGCACCTTCACCCTGAGGTCTTACATAGCCTAAATGTGTGCTGAATTCCTCCCTTCTCCTGAGCAGAGGTTTTGATAAGTCTGTTTTCTCATTTCACCTAACTGTGTTCTTCCAAAGTGAATTCTGTAGTTATTATTTATCTAGTGGCCTTCTCAATAAGGGTGGAATAAGGGCCTGAAGTGACAAGGCACAGTACTGAAGAATTAATGTATATAAAAGTTTCATGGTTTTTTCCGAAACTCTTTCTCAAGAAATGTGAAGTCCCTTCGTCTGAATTATGATGATATGTTGCTATTCACATACTACAGTTTAAGACCTAGAGTGTAAAGCTTTCTATTTTGTTTAGAATTTGACAGTATTGTTGCTTTCTGTCTTAATTTATTTTGTATCCTATTTTAGAGGTATGGCAACAGACAAAATTATGTGAAAATACTTTAGTGTGCACCACAGCTTCATGGTAATTTTTTTCTGAAAGTGAAGACTGTTTGCAGAAATATGATTGCATCATAAATCCCTGTAATATATCTTCTGTATGCTAATGAAATAGTACAGAATACATTCATATGTCTTAAAGAAGTCAAAGTTTAGTTGAAGATACTGGAGATAGTCAAGGTTGTATGTTGGGGAATAGGTAACTATAAGAACAGCAGGGAAGAGCAAGAGGATGGGGATCTTGCAGTGAACATTGTCTTCTTCCCATGATCCAGCCTGTGAGTCTGAGCAGAGATATGACCCTTCTGTTTCTTGGGAGGATGGGAAGATGGATCTCAGGCTGCTTTTGTGATGCACTATGGGCTGCAAGAGGCTATGACCATAGATCTATTTAGTCGCTTTTCTGCTGATGGTGACTCAGGGCGGGGGGACCATCTCTGCATATGGAACTTGCAGCCATATCATAAGATGCTGTTAATGAGGGTGGCATGGATAACCTGGTGAGAGGAGTTTTTGTAGGATCCTAGGATATTTGGGTTTGGAAGGGAACCTCAGGAAGGTTTCTATCAAGTCTTCTAAGGCAGGGTCAGTTATAAGGTCAGACCAGCTTACTCAGGGTGTTAGCTAGTCAGGTCTGTAAAACTTCTAAGGATAGAGATTGCACAACCCCTTCAGCTATGACCAATCAATAGGTTTGCAGAACTCCCAGTCCTTGTCTGGACTTGTGTTCTGTGGGTATGAGGCATCATGTTGGTCCCCAGATTGTCCCCAAGTCCTCATCTTCTAAAATTCTGTGTTTTTCCATGGCCTTGGAAGACAAACAGCTGAGACAGTGAGGGTCGAGTGTGGTTAGCCCAGTGTGTGCACCAGTGTCAGGGTTGATGCTGTGATTGGTCATAATGTCTGAGTCCATTTCTTTTGGTGTATGGGTCCCTGGGAGGCTTTGTGAATGAGTTATGTGATGGGCTTAAAGCAGACTATTTGGCATGTCCTTGGACTGTCAGCAAGGACTACTCAGCTCTTATATGAGATCACAGCACCTGGTACATTGGTCCTATCTAATTATAGAGCTTGCAGATCAAGGAGAATTGTAAGGGATCACTTCATGGCTCTGGTGATCTCTGCTGGTGATTCAGAAGGGAAACATCACTCCCCTCAGGCAGTACTTAAAATAACACCTGCATGGCATTGGGGAAGTACAGGAGATCACAGGGCTGTGCTGTTCGTCAGTGTGGGTGATTCATCGTGGGGCGGGCCAGCATTCACGTGGTTCAGCAGTGGTCCCAGGTCCCACCTGAGGGACAGAGGATGGTTTCACCTGATACTACCACTGTCTCTGTTAATGTGCTGCAGGAAGAGTTCTTGTTCTTTTTTCTCATTTGTAGTTACTTGGCCACTATTCATAGTGAATGCTCCTCTCAGAGGTGGCCATGTTTCAGAGTAAAGCAAGCCCTTTGTTGTCTGTCTGGTTTTCTGCAGGATGAGCTGTCATTACTGTCCCTGTTACCTCTTCTACCACCTCTGCTTATGGGGACAGTTGCCAGTTTGCTGCTTACAGTGTGTCTGGGGATATGCTTGGAATAATTTATAACAACTGTCTTTTAATTGCTTGTTCAGCACTCTGCTGTGGAGCATTGTGCCTCTTGGGATGGTAGGGAGGGCTGGTGGTGGGATGGCAGGGCAAGGCTGCTGTGTTAGTGCATGGCAAGGGACTGATCTCATGCCCTGGGGATATTTGCTTTCTCCTAGGAGGTTTTTAACTTTAATAACATCTCTTGGTGATAAGGAGCAGTAGTATGGAAGGATACAGCAGTGATAGGATGTTTTAAACAGCTTTTCTCTGCTTCTTCGTCTTCACAGACATTGCAAATCAGATTAGCATGGGTCTGAGGAAAGGAAGAGGGAAAGTGGGGGACAGTGTGATGGAGAGAATGGAGGGAGGGGAGAGGGAGCCCATGTTCATTCTGGTGGGCAGACTGACTAGCTGAGTCTACCCTCACCCTTTCCTCACCATCCATGAATGGAAACACCTGAGTGCCATCCATGAATGGAAACACATGAGTCTTCCTCCAAGCAGTCTCACCCACCCAGCAGCAATATCCCTGCCTTCCCTGTGAATGAATGTCTGCCACTATCTGCTGTCCCACTTTCCTCCAGAAAGCGCATTTTTCATTACCAGAAACCCCATTCCTACCCACAGGTACTATCTCTTTTTTTTATGCTAGGCAAGTGGCTTTAAATAACCTGTGATCCCACAAACACCTTCATGGTGCTTCCTGCATGGATCCTTCCCTGAATGCCCTGGACCACCCTGCTACCTTTTGATGCCCGCAGCCACCCTGTGCCTCCATCAGTGCGAAGAGTTGCAGGAGCTTGTGTGGGGATATGAGCATGTACAGACCCTGGCTTCCTGGGTTGTCACACAGAGGCTGCCTCCCCTCCCCGCAGGCGCCCTACTGTGGGTGGCATCGTGTGACCATCTCTTGTCTCCTCACAGATCTCTCGCAACTTGGGGAAGCTCTACAGCGAAATGATCTTCGTGAATGGCTTTGTGCACTGTGACCCACACCCAGGCAATGTGCTAGTGAAGAAGTGCCCAGCCTCTGGCAAAGCTCACATTATCCTCCTGGATCATGGGCTCTACCAGGTATGTGGGTATGAGGGGCTTCCAGGGCCTTGTGAAGCTGCCTTTGAGCATCAGGCTGCAGCCTTGCCCCTCTAAGCACATATGAATAAATTTTTCCTGATACTTCCATAATGCTCTAATAGTGTTTTATGACTCTGAAGTGGAGAATAGGGGAGAGGTAAGGGATGGAAGCTTTTCCCCCTGTTTCCTGTCCTCTGTGGGCTTCTGGGAACCATGTCTCTATTCCCAGGTGCTGAGTGAGTCATTCCGCATGGACTACTGCCGCCTTTGGCAGGCCCTCATCAAGGCTGATATGAAGAGAGTGCAGAAGTACAGCCGGCGGCTTGGGGCAGGGGATTTGTATCCTCTCTTTGCCTGCATGCTGACTGCCAGATCTTGGGAATCTGTCAACAGGGGCATTGACCAGTCACCAGTCTCTGCCAGCGAGGTAGGTCTTGTGTGTCCTTCCCTAACGTGTGCCCTTGCTTCTCCTTAGTACCTTTCTATGTTGAAATCACTTGCACCACTGATAGTACAGCAGTGCTGGGCAATCCCTGGCAGCTCTGTAGCAATTTCTGCAGTGATAGCTGATCTAGAAAAAAAACAAAACTCCTTCTGGAATATGCAATATGTTTTATAGTGGCTGAATTTAATTTCCCAGATTCACTTGTCATGGGCTGCTTAAATTTTGTATAATATTTTAATACCTAAGTATTCACCATTTCTGGCTGGGAAAATAGTGGATTGTCCTTTTCTTAAAAAAATGTTGAATGCAGCTGTGCAGGAAACTATCAAGTAGGCTAGGATAAGGTACAAGAGACATAAAGGTTTAGTGGGAAGACATGAGAAGGATAATGCATTGTCACTATTCATGTAAATGACTATCAGCACTGATATAAACTTCTAAAAAACTCTGGAAATTACCTCCCAATCAAAAACCTTATTAACTTGGAGTCAAGGTTGCTTAACTGCAGATCCTGTCAACTCAATCACTACAAATCTGGGAAATTGCCACTTATATTTTCCACCCTTTTGTATCCACACATGCTGGGATCCTTCTCATGCCTCCTTGCACACCTAATACACACAATACCCCACCTTAAGAATAGTAGCAGCCCTGCCAATGTGCTCTTTCTACAGAAGATCATGAAGTGATGTGATTCAGCCAATGGACGAGTGTCTGTAAGTAGAAGTGTGTTGCATCCTATGGTTTGCTTTTATCTGCACACATCTGTAGTAGAGTGGATGAAATTCATTTAAGTAGTGTTATAATACTGTCCTATGAAAGTCTCTTCCAAAAGTTCCTTCATTTTGATGGATGTGGCAGAATTTGCTGTACTGGCTTGCCATTATCCATAGCAATGAGTTGGTCAGATATCTTGGGTAATGGACCCCTCCCTCCCAATTACCCGAGTTAATTTTCTGCACGTCAGAAATAATATAATGACTGTCTAATAGATCTGTGCTCGATCTTGTGAGTTCTGGAGCTGGTAGCTCCAGAAGAAAATTCAGAGGTGCCAAAGCAAATTGGCACAGCATTGACTCCAATACTACAAGGCCAGTGTTGAATCTGAGTTAGAGAGCAATGTTTATTCCCAACTTGCTTGTGAAGGTTACACCAGAGGTGTAGCTGCAGCTACATGGTACCCTGTGTGTGCTAATGAACTTTGTCATTGAGTTTAATTGCGTGTATGGAACCAGCTCTGTTGTCTTTGCCTACATGACGCAATTAATGCTGAAACTAGATAATCCTGCAGCAGATAATGGGGAGCTGAGCAGATTTGCTGTGGCATTAGGAAATGAGCTGCTGCTTGCCCTTACTTTCGAGGTGAATTTGAAAGATTTTATCAGCAGCAAGAGCTGAGTGCTCTGTAGGCAGGTACCATCAGTGCAGAGCTCCAGAGAGTGTGCCTGAGGATGTATCAACATGGCAATAGCCTGTGAGACAAGGAAACAACCTTCCTGAAACAAAATCTTATCTGTAGTGCTGTACTCAGTCTGGGACACTGCATCTCAAGAAAGGTTTGATGAAACTGGGGCAAGTCCAGTAGGAATCTACAAGGACCTAGTGGACAAGCTGATGCAACCCATGAGGTAGGTCTGAGCAAGTTAGGTCAGAAAAAAATCTGGAAAAGGCAGGTCAGGAAGAGTTGTAGAAGTGATTTTCTTAAGTGATTTTCTTGCAGCACTTAAAGAGTGCTGCAAGCAGGACAAGCAGTCATGGGTTTAAATTCAGCTAAACATGAGAAAAGCCAGATCTAGTGGCAAAGCAGTGAAATGCCAGTGTAGATGGTCTGGGGAGGTTTTGATTCATGTTACTGGAGAATTTAGGTGCAGGCTGGGCAAATGTAAGAGGATTGCCATAGGTATGGTTGGTCCTGCCTTAAGCCAGGGCCAGGCAGCTGATTGCTCAGGGTGGCTGCTAGCCTCATCTCATCTGATTTAATGATGTCTTTTGCTGCATCCTGCAGCAGCCTCAGCAGCTGCAGCCAAGGGGCTTTTCTCAGGTCCTGTGGCTTAGCTTATTTCTTCCTCTGCACACAAGCTTTGCCCTTGACAGAAAGTGACAGTTGTGATGACTGATCATGTGGTTGTTTTGTGATGTGGACAAGCAGCTGGAGCTAAAAATAAAAGGAAAAGAAATAGAAAAGTAAACCTATGTCTGGAAAATAATGTAAGCTCTGCAATGGTGCAGGCTGGGGAAAGGCATAAGAGATAATCAGGGAGGAATTTTCTGCCAACAAATAATGGAACAAAACAACATTTAGGAGAGCTAAGCATCTTCTTGCTGAAACCTTGTGTATCTGGTTAGTGATGGAGGCAGGAGGACACAAAGATTGGTTTGTCAGCAGCAACCATGGTGGTGTGTGAGCTATGTACATCACTGACCGTCATGACCTGCACACCCAGTTTGTGCAGGTCTGTTACTTTATAAGTTTGAAGTTCACAAAGAGTGTGAGATCCCACGTCATGCAATATAGGTCATCCCTCATTCCAGAGGAGAGAAGGCTTTAGAGCTGTCATTTCCCACAAAAGAGCCTCCTTCCTGTATGAAGTTATTTACTGTCCCCCTGGATTTTGTAGATTTCAGATGTCCCAGAGATTTGTCTTTGGATTTCATGTCATGATTCATGTCATGGCCTCTGTAGGAAGAGGTGGGGACAAGGTATGTATATAGGATCAGCTCCCAGCTACACTGTGCTACATTTACTGGGATGGTGAGGGAACTCTCAGATCTAAAAACATGAAGAAGAGGCGTGGCTGACTGTCTTGCATGCTCTGGTGGCTTGTATTTGGAGAGGATCTCATCTTAAATGGCTCAGGCTGTAGTCCCTAAGTTAGCACTGGGTTCTTTCAGTAAGGCAATGTGTTTGTTGGCATCTGGAAAACCAGAGAAAATGAAGGATTGCCTTGAACTTACACTCTTTCCTTAATTATCTGCTACTGGCTGCTGTCATACAGGATATAAATCTAGATCTGACAGATGACAATTTGATGATTTTTATCTCTTGGGTTAACATGATGCTTAACTGCATAATTTTTTTCTCACCTCTGCTGAATTGTGTTGAGGACAGAGGACAGAGGACAGAGGACTAAACTAGGCCTTGGAAACGGCTTCATCAGTATAGCATAGAGCCATGAGTTGCGTGGGGCAGTGAAGAGCAAAGCAGCTCGGTTGTCTTTGCAGCATGCCTCCACCTTCCTGAGCAATTCTGCTACCTGAACTCTGCCGGTTTTGGGGCTGGTGAGGTGAGAAGTCTCCAAGGGCAGTATTGAGATCTGGTTGCTGCAGGCTGCCTAGGACTAAGAACCAAGACAGCAGTGAGTGGCTGTTCTCCTGAGAGGCTATTAATCGTGCCAGTGAGGGGATGGGTCCTTACCTCACTGAGGGGCAGATGGGATATGGCAAGAGTGATCTGTGCTATGAGTGCTGTACCCAGAGCTGTCTGCAGGAAAGCAAGACAGAGCTCTGTAGCTCCTGGCCTACTGTCATAGTCTGTTAAAACACTGTTCTCTTCCTGGCCAATCTCAGCTGCATCTGTACCTGAATTTGCCATGTACTCTCCCCTTCTCTCTCTTTTCTCCCTGACATGACCTGGCTGGCCACAGGACATGGAGATCCGGTCCAACGCTGCTGCTTACTTGCCCCAGATCACCCAGCTCCTCAACAACGTTCCCCGCCAGATGCTGCTTCTGCTGAAGACCAACGACTTGTTAAGGGGGATTGAGTCAGCCCTGCACACACGGGCCAGTGCCAGCTCCTTCCTCAACATGTCTCGCTGCTGCATCAGGGCTGTTTCCACGTGAGTCTCTTAGCCAGGCATCAGAGGCCAGACAAGGAGCAGCAGGAGCTGCAGGACAGACCCTGAGATGGCGGTTGGATCCAATCAAAAGTTCACATGATAAGGCAGAATCCTGGTGATGGGGCAGCTCTAAGAACAAACCAGAAAGTCAATCTGTAGATTATGTCTGGTGGTTGTCAAGCAGGTCCATGGTGACCAGACAGGGCTGAGGTCAATATGTGAGTTGAGGTGCAGGCCATGGGGCTTCACAGCAGGGCATGAGCTGAGGACCATTACTCTTCCAGTGTAGCTCAGGCAGGAACTGAAGGTGCAGGTCTGAGATTAACTGAAGTTCCTGGGCCTATGGGCAGAGGGTTGGGGGTGGTTCCAGGCTAGTCAGGGCCATTAAGGCTTACTAGGGCCCCACTCAGGGGGCCTGACAAGGCTCTGACTCAACCTCTTGACCTACTATTGTTAGCTGTGGATCTCTTCCTCTCATTGTGGTCCTACCCCTGCTCAATTACACATCTCAGCCTCTGTCTGTGCTGTTCTCACCCATCACCCTCTCCAGAGGACAAACCTGTCACCCTGGGGCTGGAGACAGAGTTAGAGTTGGAGGCCTTAGGTTAAGGGTTTAGGATTTTTCCCCCCAGAGGAGGGGAAGGGGCTTCTTGCCCATTATAGGCATTGCCACTAGGCAGTATTTGGGAGTAGCATAGATCTGAAAGTTCACTACAGCCTTATTGAGGGAATTGGGCTGACTGAAGATCAGGCTGATGTTTAAAAGCCAGGAACAGGAGTTGTGCAAATTATTTCCTTCTGTGAGTCTTATGAATCAACGCACTTCTGCCTCAGATTCTTCGTCCTTGTAGATGAAATAAGTTATTTCTTGGGCTGATGAGGGACCTATGAATCCCAATCCCTGCTAAAGAAAGGTGAAGAAATACTTTTCCTGGAGTCTGTGTGTCAGGATTGCTGGACTCTTAAAAGTGTGCTACCTAGAAAAGCAACAGGAGTGTGCACCTGTCTCTATAAGCTGAGGTGAAGCTGACATGGAAGTAGAGGAATGCCATGCCCCAGGATCACTACACACAGTGGGAAGAGAACTGAGTTCTCAAGGGAGCAGGCTGTCTCTTCTGCTAGATTCATTCTAGGAAAGGTGGTCCCCAGCTCCTCAGAAGCACTGCTTAGAGAAAATCCCTGCTTCCTGGGGATTCTCCAGATGGAGGATATTGCCACCCCTGGGGAGGGTCAGTTGTGCAGAAGATGTAGGACAGGCCTCCTTCCTCCTGGGCTGTTTCCTGCTGGATCTAATGCAGCTGTTTCTCTCATTCTAGGTACCAGAGGAGCAAGAGTCACTCGCTTTACAGGAGGGCCCAGATCTCACTCACAGAAGCCCTAAGCCTGTGGCAGATCAACTTATATGAACTCTTTCTGTGGCTGAAGGGGTCCCAGCTGGGGAACTGGGTCATTGCTCTCCTGAGACGGATGCAACATTTCACATACTGACATGAACTGGTGGGAGAGGCCTGGGTGCTCCCTCCCTCCCTTCTGCTCTCCATGGCACATTTGTCTTTCTGACTATTTCTGTCTATTTTTGGGTATTACTCCACATTACACTGCACTGTCCTTTTCTTTTACAGCATTAGCTTCCTCTGTGGCACAGAGAGGTTGAGTTGGTACCAGAGCCCTATTGTTTTGTGGTTTAGGAAAAGTAGGTGCATGATACCTTGTGCTAGGAAAGACAGGTAAGGATACCTTCTTTCCTCATTTGTGCAAGTTAAGTTCCACTCAGATTCTAGTGGGATTGTGCTGGAAGCAAATGCCTCTTTGACTCTTTCTTAAACAACCTTAAAGAATTTAAGAGAATCCCAGCCCTACCTAGAATGCCCCAAAACATTTCTCAGACCCTCAGAGGTGGTGAGTCCCTTTAAAGTGCAATAGGGTTTATATTAGTTTGTGCAATCTCCTTAGTCTGATTTCTGTTTAGGTGTGCAGAAGGTTTCTCAGAGGACTGAGACCTTGGGGAAAGCTGTCACTAGGGTTTTCTCTTCTCCAGGGAAAGAGGACTCAAATGGTGAGAGTGGTGGACTGGGAGTCCAAGTTTCTAAGGTTCATCTCCAGTCCTGTCAGCAAGTGTCTCTGTTTTTGGACTTCTCCTGGCCTGTTTCTTCTTCTTCTCCTTACCTTTTTCAGGTAAAATGGGAGAAGGGGACAGTGATCTTGCCCCTCTTCTGAAATTCCTGGAAGGCAGTAGGAATGACAACTCAGTGCTCTAAACTGCTGGTAATGTATGTGTACTGTACAATACTTCCACACAACAAAATAAATGTGTTGTATCAAAGACCTTTGTGGGAGGGATGCTTGGCTGTGCACTAGAGTTATGTTTGGGCCTCTAACCTAAGTCCCGTTTCCATTTCTCCACAAGGGAGTGATGCCAGGCAGTGCCGGCAACTCCTTGTAAGCAAAATGTCCACTTGGTCTTTTCTCTGTCCAAGAAGTTTGTGCCACATCTGAGTCCTCTGGCACTGCATCTCGTGTGTGTTGGGATGGAATGCAGGAGCGGGCATCTTTCTGCTGGGAGGACACCTCACACCTTTATTCCCAGATCCACGCTGAGCCTGTCTGCTCCCTGCCTGTGGGAGTGCACTGCAGCACATCTGTGAGATGTCACCATCCCCATGGCACAGTGAGCATTTCACCTTGTCACTGCCTATGACATTTTACTGCTCTGGCCCAGACAAAAACTTGCCATTTGCTCGGTGGTGCAAGTGACAGGTCTGATGGCTTTGATTCTGCAGTTGTGGGACAGCTACAGAAAGCCTCATCTAGAGGTCTGCTTTATGTGAGATGTAATTGAGATACTGGGATACAGCTCTGCTGCTTGTAAGAATTCCTTTAGCCAGGAAAGGTGGATGGAGGTGGCTGCTTACATCATCTCAGCTTTTCTCAAACTATCTTGGTGAAAGGGGATGTGAAGGACAGGATGGGAATGTCCATGTACTGTCAGAAAGCTTGCTAAGATGAGGGTTACGCCAAACTGTGCCTGAGAGCAAGCCACAAGAAGGCCATTCACTCTCCCAGTTTCCATACAAATTTCCAACTTGCACAGGTGTGAAACCCCACCTTGAAGTGAATTTATTTGCTTGGGAAGGGAAGCAGGGGACAGAGTGCAGGTAAGTGTGTGTGTGTGTGTGTGTGAGTCCCTGGCAAATCAATCATCTTGCTGGCTGTGCAGGAAAGGGAAGGAAAGTAATCCAGAAAAGGTACCTGGCTGCTGGTGGGCTTGGGCATGTCCCCTTGGGTTAGGGACTACAGATGTGCAGACAGTAGCTGTGTACATGCAAAAGCATCTAGGCAGAACTGGCTGGCTCAGGACTGCCAAGAAGTGGTGTGTGATTGGCAGAGTTCTGGACAAGGTATTGCTGAATGTAGGTTTTAGGTCTCTTTGGGTAGTCAGTCACCTGATCCTGGCATTGGCTCTCTGAGCCCTTCCTGCTTTGGGGGCAGCAGCAGGAGTGATGTACTCTCTGATCTTTGCTAAGATCAAAAGAGAAACCCAGTGTGACTGAATGTCCTTGCAAAGCTTGTCTCCAACCCCTGCAATGACAGGTCAGAGATTCCCTTGGCTTCTGGGTCATATGATGGCATCAGGGAATGGAGTGGTGGTAATTGCAGGATGAGACTCCTGAGTTAACAAAGAGTCACTGGGGCCCCGGAATACTGGTGCTGCAGCCTGTACATGACTAATCTTTGCTCATGTGAGCAGTCTGGCTGAATCAGTGCCTTGCTCAGGCACTTACAGCTGGTAGGCTGGCCAGCATGGGTGGACCTGACTTGTTCTTATCACAAGTAGAGCTCCTCTCAGAAAGCTGGCCTGGTGTGCCTTGTTGAAGTCCCGGAAACCCTCTAGTAATGGTCACCGATTGCACATCCTCACCTTGTAGCTGCCTCTGCAAATGCCTTTGCCTGTTCATGGCTGGATATACTGACCAGAGCATTGTTTGGGTTTCTCATCTGCGAGTAAAGCTCATCCCACATTTAGGCCCTCATTTCTAGAGGATCCCATGTTGTGGAGAGGCTCCCTGTAGCTGTCATTTACATTGGCTGTCAAGCTCACAGCCACCCTCAGCCATGCATGTTCTTTCACTCCTTCAAAATCCCACCACATGACTGTTAGTTTTGCTACCTGAGGAGAGTCCTGACTCTAAAAGTGGTAGGGAATCAGCAGCCCCTCAGACTGGTTTCTGGCATTGTGCAGCAGGCAGAGAACAGGGAATATTTGGCAGGGCTTTGTCTGTTGTAATTAGTCTCTCCTGGGAAGCTCTGTGTTGCAGTGTTAGCAGAGGGACTCCTCCATCAGTTGTGCTCAGCTCTCACCCTTCCCACAGTCAATCAATGAAGGTTTGTCTTAAGAAAGAACAAGCAAACACATGGTGTTTGACCCTGTAACATTCCTGCCTTTTTGCTGAAAGCTCTCAGAGGTGAATGTGTTAACAGGATTTTGAAAAGACACTTTCTCATCCCAATTTGCAGTTGTCAAACATGAGTAACCTGGACCAGGTCTGTACACGTGGCCTCTCCTTCCAACCTGCATTTAATGGTGTTTTCACCACCAGGAAACACAGCTTCTGCTGCTTTGCTTACAGGCAGCACATGGGCTGCTGTATGCCCAGCTTCAGCGGTGAGTGAACTGAAGTTTGGTGCAGACCCTAAATGTTAGCCTTGCAGCCCACCAGCTCTTCCTCAGGACTAACATGGGGGTTAGAGCTGTGGCCAGAGCTGCAAAACTGATGGGCATCTTTCAGCTCCTGCAATATGAAGTACTTTGTTGTAGCCTTATGGCACCACCATTCCTAATGCTGTCAGTGCTCTCAGATGTCTTGGGAAACCAGTGGACATTTAATCTGGCATTTATATGTGCCATCATTACATCTGCTGGAGGTGGAAAATGGGGCAGTCAGGGAAAATGAAGTTGCTGTGCAAAACTTCCAAGAATCTTGCGTATGAAGTGAATGTGCTTTTGCACATCCAGCTGAAGGAAAGCCAGAGAGAACATTAGTCCAGGCTGGGCAGCATAGCCTTTGCCTAGTCCATCTAGTGAATGCTAATGATGACAGGTGGGTGGCATTTAGATTTGCAGATTAAGGCTGCATGGTGCTGTCTGCCATCTTGCAGGGGTGTACAAACCTCATGCAGTTGCAGTGTAGAAGCTTCAGAATGAATCACATGCTGCTTCTCCCAGCATATGTCTTATGAACTGTGACTTGAGTGCAGCTTGGCCAGTGTCAAAGTCATTCACAATGACTCCCTCTTCCAGAGCATCACTTGGCAGGGCTCTTTCCCCACCTCCACTGTGCATCCCTGCATCCCCCTCTACTATTCCATCTGCCCCTGTACCCTGCATCCAGAGGGGTATGGGCAGCCTGCTGGGTCCTGGAGCATGCAAGAAGCTGTCACACCCAGTGGGCTGGGCCATGATGCCCAGCATTCAGATGGGAGCAGAGAGAGGGATGGAAAAAGGAAAGGAGAGGGAAGGGAAAGGGAAGGGCTGGTCCTCAGTCAGCCTTGCTGAGGTGTCTGCTGGATGTGGGCCATCCTTCTTCCTACACCATCTGCTCAGGTGCTGGCCAGGACTGTAAAAGGCCTGGACAGTAAGAGACTGTCATTTAATTAATTAATTAATGATCTGCCTGAGAAAAATTACCCTTTTCAAGAATCATACAGATGATGGTGGCATACCTTGCACATTACTCTATGAAGTATCACTAAAACTAGGAAAACCTACTAGTGGACTAGCAGCCCTGCAGGAAGGGGTTACAGGGGACCCCATGTGAACATGAACTTACAGTGGAAATCATGTCCAGGACTACTTATTCTCCTCTTCTGCTTGGTGCTACTGAGTCCACACCTGAAACTATGCCCTCTTTCAGTTCTCTTGGTTGAAGATAGATGTTGGAGAACTGTATTTGGTCTGGTGGAGGGCACATGACATGGTCAGGACCTATTCCTATAGCCTGTAAGGGAGATGGACTTGTTTAGTCCTGGAAGGAAGAAGTAAAGGGATGAACTGATAATGGCTGGAGGCTCTGAAAGGAGATTAGGGCCAATTTCCTTCTGGCAGTACCATTGAGTAAACAAGGGCTGATGGCAACAAGTCAGAGTTTGCAAAGTTAGTAATGAACTTCACCAGGAGGGTAGTGCAAAGCCAGGAGACATCACCCAGAAGGGGTCTCCATCCTGGTTGGCCAGCAGAGTGGCTCAGCTGGTATGCTGGCTGGAGTCTCCCTCAGGGCAGAAGAGGAGTGAGATACCCAATGGGCCCTCCCAGCCAGCCTGTTGGTGAAGCCATACAGCCATGGCATGGAGCAGGCAGGGAGCTGGCTCACATGGCCATTGAGTGAGTGCTGTGGGATGAGGTTGGATCTGGGTTTCAGCTTTCTCAGCTCTCATTCTGTGTCACTGTCTGTGCTCAGACATGAGATAATGTCCCTGACCAGGTCTTTGCTTTGAAGTCCAGGCTTACCAACTGTTTTTGTTTGGTTCAGTTGTGGAGCTGTGGGTGAGCCTGCCTGTGCTGGCAAATGCCAGCCTGCATAACTTGCTTTGCAGTTTTTATCAGCCAGCTGCCTCTTGTGTCCTTCTTTCTTGGGCAAAACCTGCACATCCAGTCCCTTCTGGAAGGCAGTGGGTGTCTTCCCAGGACCCTGTTGTGGCTTATGCAGGTTTTAAGTAGGTTTTAAACCTGGAGGGAGTAAATTATATGCACATCCAGCTGAAGGCTTCCTGAGTGGGAAGGATGCTCAGTGATCTCTGTGTGATGGTAATCAGGTCCCATCAAGACAGTTTGAAGTTTCCCTGACAGGGTATTTGAAGCTACACCTGTTGGGGTAGTGATCAGTGCCTCTGTCCCCTGCAGGGAACATGGCTGTGTGTCCATCCACAGCAGTGCCTGAGGGAGCCCTGGGCAGGACATTGACCATACTCTTACCCACACACCTTCTGCTGACCCTGTGCAGCTCATGGTGACCTTGTCAAATGCTAGCAACCTTTTTGGGCTGACTTGTGTGACCCAGAGAGCATTATCCTGTGCCATTCTCCATGTCACTCCAGATCAGCCACAATGTCAGAACTCAGGATGCTCTGTGCACAGCTTCCCCTTTGAGCTGCTTATTTTAACCAGGTACTCATGACTTTTGGTGGTCTGGTAAAGACTGTTCACCTAGACTGCATGAACAGTGGAGTAGGGAGGAGCCATGGCATTTTACTATTATTTTATTTTGTTTAACTTTCTTTTTATTTCCATTTGATTCAGAATCTTATTTGCTGAGGCTA